CCAGTTTCCAATGTCACTATCTATACCCCCAACTCAGACTAAAAAGCAAACTGCTCCGCTAGAGGCTGTTATTCTTTCTCCTCCTGATCAGCTTCTAGTTTTTGACACTATTGATCATCAGAAGGATATCCCGGACGACGTCACTATCCCTGCAGACAATATGACAACTATTCAGTCCCCAGTTGTAGCTCCCTCATCTTTGGAACCTTCTATCGTGGGGGAGGGAGTTTCTTCAGACCCGCCTGCCCTAGAACCAATTACTGATAATACATGTGAAAATACTTCCACTGCTTCACTACCGCCTCATCAGGTCCAGAAAGATATTAATATTACTCAGGCTCATGTGATCAAGACGTGCAACGACCTACACATGTCCGACCACCTTTGAAATCTACTGATCAGATAAGTTAATCATCGGATGAGGAATGACAAGTCTACACATCCAGGAGGAAGAAGAAGAATGAAGATTTAAGAATGAAGGAATGAAGATTTACTTGAGCTCAGGAATCTGATGGATGATACTTTGGTTACTACGGGCAATGGTACTCACCTTACTAATTTGTTAGCCGGCTCACTTCTGAGAATTAGAGGGAGAACTAGAGGCAGGAGGACTAAAGTAGGACGTTCCTAGCACTTTTGTGCTCTTTTGTGGTTTTTTGGTTTTTTATCTTTATGTATCTTTGCTCTATCTGGGTTTTGTGTGTGTTGTGTTGTATGAGTTGGGTTTTTTTTAAGCCATCTCATATAACATTTCTGTATCTTTTCCGTATTAATATATTTGCCCTCGAGTTTTTTCATATATATATATATATATATATATCTATTATAATTATAAAATTCTTATTAAATATCTTATCCTTATAAATCCTCCCGGTCGAGCCCTAACCCATGTGAACTCCTCTTCTACCCTATGAGCGCGACGATCTTCTTCCTGCGCACGAGGCTTGGCTTCAACTCCCTCCTGCGCGAAGCTCGACGATGTTGCGAGAGCTTCTCGACTCGACGCCTTCTCCTTCATCTCCTTTGATCGTCACCAAAGCAGCCTTCTCCTCTGCTTGATAGAGACACCGCCTCTGCTCTAATTCTCACATCGTGCTCCTCTTTTTCAAGGAAAAAATTTGCGTACATAATACGTACGCAGCGTTTTGTCAGGGGTTATTCAGGGGGTACAGGGGAGTTATATCCGGGTTATACCCCCCTATAACTTTCGTGTAACTCCCTTGTAACCTCCGTGTAACTTATTTGTATCCATGAAACTACAGAAGCGCAAAACTCATTTGTAGGTTACAAGTAGTTTAGAAAGAGGTTACATGGGGGTTACAGAGGGGTATAACCCCGATATAACCCTCCTGTATCCCCTGAATAACCCCTGAACATACGCAGCGCTGCTTACGTCTTATGTACGCAAATATTTTCCCTTTTTCACACGCTACTTGGCTCCCAGGTAAGTTAATCTGGGACTTAAATAGGCGAATTTATCTCTCCGACTACTTGACCTCTACCCCTCTCCCGCTATGTTCGGTTCATTTCCTCTCCCTTTCCCGTTCGGTTTTACGACTCTTGAATTCCTCTTCTTTGGTTTCCTTATTTCATCTATCCTGATTCATCGTTTCCTCCCCCCCCCCCCCCCACCCGAACTGAAACAGAATTGTTACAGTTTGGTTAAATGAAACACTAAACCAAATCAATAACCGAAAATCAAATATTTAAGTTTTAAAAATCAAAAACAGAAATGCATTTTAAAACCAATGAAAATCAACCAAATTTATTCGTTTCGGTTCTTTTTTTTGTTTTTAGGTTTTCAAGAAATGATGCACACCCTTGGCTATGCATGTCATAGATCGATGATGGCATCAATCATTATCTAATAGATTCAGTTTTTTTGTGATCAATAGAGATGCATTCACTCAAGATTACCTAGAAAAATAATGAAATTTATCATGATTGAGCACTTTTTCATGTTAATATTGTATTTTTCATGACGTGGTATTTGAAAAATGTATCAAAGATATCTAACATGATTAGGTTTGGATCGATTAAAGGTTGTAGTATCATGAACATAAAATACAAGAAAATGATCTATAAAAGTTAAATTTTGTATATCATGATACACGTACATGTACTTGCAATTTCATCAAGCTAGAATGCATAACGAAGCACTCGTGGACAATATCTTTCTTGTTAAGGGAAATCCTTTGTTCACCACCTTCCCATATTTAGATTTAGTGGATCCACTCCGATGGTCAATTTTTTGGAAAGACTACTTATTTGACCTTTTTGTCCAACACGGCATAAAGTTTCTGTATATGACTTAGAATTGATAGTAATTTTGTTGATGACATGAATATCATCATACAGGCATCATGAACTATCTTTTTTTAGTATAAGAAGAATATGAATGACATGAGGAGGCATACTTGCATGAATAAAATCTTTTTCGATTTTATAAAATGAGAATCATCAAGTGCTAAAATGTGATTAATCGAGGCCACTCATTCAACATCTATAGTCACTTAAAGGGCCAGTGAAAAAATATAGATTGCGATGAAAATTTAAATATCATAGCATCAGTGCAAGAAGAAGGTGGATATTAGCCTTGATAATGAGGCATTGCAGATGATTGAGACAATATCAGTTATTGCATGAATAAAATCTTGTTCGATTTTATAAAATGATAATCATCAAGTGCTAAAATGTGATTAATTGAGGCCACTCATTCATCCATCACGCCTTTAATTGGGCTGGTTTCAACATCTATTGTCACTTAAAGAGTCAGTGAAAAAATATAGATTGCGATGAAACTCTAAATATCATAGCATCAATGCTAGAAGAAGGTGGATATTAGCCTCTGATAATGACACTAGGCATTGCAGATGATTAAGACAATGTCAGTTGCATTAGAACTTTGTCAAACAGGGGAGGTACTTGCCACCGCATTCCTCTTACCACACAAAAAGATCTCACTAATATAATGCTTCTTTAGAATACATGTTGGTAATAATAATAATCATGGCACGATAGCTGATGAAGAAATGTGAGAAGATTTTATTTGTTTTCAAATCTTATTGCTGGAGTAGAAATAGGGATTAAAAGCATGGGGAATAATGAATATATGTGTTTTATAAAGCTAGCTCATTTTATTTGTTTTCAAATCTTTTGGTTGGAGTAGAAATAGGGATTAAAAGCAAGGGGGGATAATGAACATATGTGTATTGTAAAGCTAGCTCCCTTTTTCGAGCTGGATTAATTGTTCTTCCATGTGTCAACTTTAGAATAAATCAACTAAAAGTATCTTGGGCTATTCAATTGTCTCTGTAGGTTGGACATTAGCCTTTTCAAATCCCAAGGAACTTGAGGGACTCACTAATTGGAAGATCCTTCTTGTAGTGCTTGAAAACACACCAACAAATGCATTAGAGAAGCGACATGGAGCTAGAACAATCGATTACTTCCCAACAATTTGAGTAGATATCTTTTTTGCAGTCTTTGCATGCCTGGCATCTTTTGTAGTGGCAGCCCATTGACAATTCACACAAATCACAATTGGCAACTCGTTAACCTACCAATGACAAACATGTGGATACTTTTTGTGCCTCCTTAAACATGAAGCATGACAACTATTCCTTTTGCAAGCACAATGGTAAATAACCTATAGCTGCTTTACTTTGCCATTCAGTTTAGTTGCCACGTGGTTATGTTCCTCACATGCCTCCACGGTTGCCTTGGATATGCATGCCTCTTGGCCTTCTTAAAATGTATTGTCAATTAGGAAATGGAGTAGGTAAACCCTTAAAACGGGAATCATCTAAATCCATGCTGACTTAAATAGTCTCTTCATGTCTATGGCCTCAATAACCCCTGTTTTAGAAGAGAAGCAAGTAGTAGCCTAACTTCTTGAGCCAAGAGCTCCAACTATTACATGTTTCTCAAGTGAATGGTGGAAGAAGATTGATCTCCTTCAACTATATGATTGTTCAATCTTTTCCTTTCTCTTTTATAGTATTTCCTCAATCACAACTACATAACTCTCTAGGACGTTGAATTTGATGCATGCTGTTATGATAGCTTCTCAGGAATCGACAAAATATCCAATTTCAAACTGTTATGATAACTCCTTGGGAATTGCTTAATGTTAGATTCCTTGGTTCAACATATGAAGTTGCTAAAGATGATATTAGATGATGCAGAAATAAACGTGGCTGTTAGCATTGAAGTGAAGGATCAAGAGTGGCTGGTTTCTTGATTCCGAATATTAATAAACCCCCATCATCTATAGTTGGAGCATATAATCACATTATTTATTAGAATAACTGAATCATAAATGCAATGGTATAAGCACGGTACTTTTGAAATCTGATGATGAAATTTTTTCAGTCTATATCTTTATGTTAAGAAGATGAAATATATCAGAAATTCTCTTAAGATAAATCATATATTGAGTTGAACCGCATGGTGTTGGATTGCAAAAGTGCATTGATTTCTTCCCCTGAAACATTTTTTTATATATATGACATTATCATCATTGATCTTTATCTTGTATTATTATCATCTTCTTTTAATGATTGCTTGACCTAGGAAAATAAAACTATATATTCTCATGTACTCACTTTTGATGCCTGAAAGATTACTCTTTGCAATCACGCAAAATATAACTGTAAATTAGTTATTTTCATATCATTGTTATCCATTAGTTTTTTATTCTTGGATTTTCAAAATTTCACATCATTTGTGATGATAATTATTATTGCCCATTGCAAATTTCTTACATGCAATGATTTTTAATGTAACATTGTTTAGAAATAATTTAATTTTCTGATGTATCTGTAAATTAGTTATTTTCATATCATTATTATTCAGTAGTTTTTTATTATGGGATTTTCAAAATTTCACATCATTTGTGTTGATAATCATTATTGCACATTGCAATTTTTTTACGTGCAATAATTTTTAATTTAACATTGTTTCCAAATAATTTAATTTTGTAATGTTTCTTTATACAGGTGAGATTATCTATTTTTTGGCGGGAATTCAGTGTTGCTTTAATATCTAGACGGTCTCGTCATTTTGCAGGGACACGGTACTTTCTTCCCTTTTATTATATTTATGATTGTTTAACTGTAATCTGACGGCTGCCAGTTTGCCCTTTTCTTTTATTTGATTTCTTTTCATATATGGTTTTACCTTTTTATTCTGCTTGTGGTATGAGCTTCTTACCAAGACAGTTTTTTTTTTTGGTATTTTTGAGCTTTTATTTTGCAATTTTGTACTTTTGCATTAGGAAGCATGTTAATTACTATCAATCTTCAATTCCAATGATTATAATCTTCAGCAGAAAATTTCTTTTTAATAAAATTATATGGAAGGGACAGTTCATATAGGTTTTTATTTTTCAAGTTTAGTTTTGTTCTTTTAGGCTAGGCTTTATACAACGAACTGAAATGCACCCTTTGTTTGAGGCGGGGCTCGGCATGAGGACCGACCGGTCCTCAAGGGAGGGGGGCTGCCTCCCCCTCCTTAAGTGTAAGGGGGAAAGGAGCTGGAGGATTGAGGAAGAACTTGAAGTTGGAGGATTAATATAAGCTCACAAAGAGTATATATTTTATCAAGTGTATCTATACAGTCACTAGACCTATGCATTTGCTGGGTGGCCCAATGTGCTCTCTATAAGCCCGCGTAGAATTGACGATTTTGGCTGTAGAAAAATAGAAATTTGGCTGGCCTACTAGACTCGAGTCCGCTTCGACTTACTCAAAGCCCGAAATAGCCAAACCTGGCCCGCCCTTATAAACCCAACCCGAAAATAGTTTACTTTATGCAAAAAGTACACAAGCAAAAAGTACACAAGCAAAAAGGAAAAATAGTTTACTTTATGCAAAAAGTACACAAGCAAAAAGGAAAAAAAAAAAAACATTTAGAAGTTAGATTTGAAATTACATATGAATCAAACCGCAAATAATTCTGAACAAGAAGCAAGAAAAATGATAATCAAACAGAATTGTGTCCACTATCTAATAAGCAAATGAGAAAGACCAAAATGGTACCTATAGACAAATGAGTTGCCTTGGAAGAGTGAAACACCTATAATGCATTAATGGATATCATCTAGGATCAAGTCACTGACTCACCATTATCATGTGACATTATTATATTGGATCATTTGAATCCAGGTCAAATAAAACACACACACAGTCACACACACAACAAACACAGATCACAACTTCTGCCAAATTATAGATATCCATCCACTTTAAGGCTTCATTAAATGCTTAAAATCATAGAAAAGAGAATAAAGTAATTTTTCTTTTAAGGCCCATGGGCTGACTTGGCCCGATCTATAGAGTGGGCTGGCTTGGCTATAATTTTCAAATTGAAACTAGGCTCTGTCTTTGCTCGAGCTTGTTTTGACTGGTCAAAGCCCGAATAAGCCTGGCCCATGCCATGGCCAACCCACTTAACGCCCAAGTGTAATAGTCACTCAAGAAGATCTCATGCCACTAATGACATGACACTTTTATCGTATGATTTTGCATCAAATGACACCACAAAAGGAACAGTTTAGATCGACGCTTTTTGACTCGAGGTCTGTTGTAAAATGATATAATTATATTACAATCACATTCCAAGCCTGAATGTTCGCCAATGACTTAATTCCTTGAGTTTTGAATTATATGGTGCACTTGATAGGACATAAAGTACTATGTCAGATAATGTCAACTTTAAATTATCTCCTTAAACAACCATTCACCTCAAGTCTACATGGTTCTCTTAGATGATGTAACTTATGACTACTAACAATGATAATTCAATCATGTGGGTTGACTATCTCTTTTAGACTAGGTAAACTTTAGTCTATGACTGCATAGGATTACATAATCATAGATTTTGATTGGTTTTATCATCATTCTCTCCACTATCCGTTCAGAGTCAATTTGATAAACATCTTTAATATGAAACTAAATTTTCATTACTTTACACTAAGCACTTGGCACCTTTTGACTGGTCTTAAAGAATCTTTTTTTTTTTCCTTGGGGGTTGGGGGGGGTGTAATTGTCCGTGCATGCCTATAGGAAAACTTAAAATTAGATTATAAAGTTGTCGTAAAATGAGTGTAAAATTTCTGAACAATTAAATTTTGATTTGGAACAACAAAACACTTTCAGGAGAGATTGAGGCAGATTTTCACACCCCATAATCTCAATCTTTATTGTTACTTCACTAACTTAAACCGACAATTATGTGTCTTTACTTACTTTTGTCCCTTTAGGTGCATTTTGCATGTTGGTTGGGTTTGCAAGCTTGGGATCTGTGAAGTTGGGCTGATTTAGAATTAATGGATTTGTTCTTCACTGTTATCTATAATTAAAGCATTTTACAGATCAATGAAAATTTATGATGCCGCAAGTTTTGTTGATATAACAAGCTCTCCCCTGATATATATATATATATTTAACACCCTTCTCTTTTGATTTCCTGTGTTGCAGTTATTTGAAAAGGGGAGTAAATGATAAAGGCAGAGTTGCAAATGATGTTGAAACTGAGCAAATTGTCCTTGACGAGGAAGCTGGTTGTTGCAAGGGAAAAATGAGTTCGGTTGTACAGATGAGAGGTTCAATCCCCCTTTTCTGGTCACAAGAAGCTTCAAGATTTAGCCCTAAACCGGATATCATTTGTAAGTTCTGACCACTGTTACTGCCATTTCGTTTCTCTTTTTTTTTTCTGTAAGGTAAAATTCTGCATACCGTGAATTTCAATTCTTTTGTTGTTCCCTCTACCATGTCCTATAAACTATATGCAGCGTTTGTGTGTGCATACATTATGAGATAAAATATATTATAAGTGTAATAGTAATTATGTGCACCATTTATGGAGTGGTTGATTTGCAAAATTAGAAAACCATTAGGAATTTAAAATATATTACTTTTTCTCTTTAAGCTTAATTTATATTCACTAATACCCTTTTGTTGTTTTGTTGGTTGTCATTTTCTTGCATTGTTGTTAATTGTCATTTCCCAAAATGCTTGGCTGTCATCTCCCAAAATGCTTGACGCCTTTTCGTTTTTAATATTTTTAAGTACAGAGATACGATCCAACATATCAGGCAACAAAGCTGCATTTTGAGGACTTGGCTAGGAGATATGGCAATCCTATAATTGTGCTTAATCTAATTAAGGCGAGTTCTTACTGTTTTGCATCCATTTCGTTTATTTATTCTATCTATTGTGACTTGTATGTTTCTTATCTTCATTCATGGATAAACTGAGATGTTATAGTTTAACTATTCTATCTATTGTGATTGTATTTTTTTCATTCATTGATAAACTGAGATTTATGTCTGATTCATCTGTTTTTGTCTATTTTGACTTGTCAATTGATGATGGAGGCATTATCTGGAGCTTGTTCCTTAATTCTTGTCTATTCTTACTTCTGTTGCTTCATTGATTGTTGGGGAGAAAAATGTTAAAATAGGCCAGGTATTATTTATAAAACATCGTTTTAGTCCCAAATTGTTTTGTTTAATTTATTCTCTTCACTAAATCAGATCGAAAATAGTCATTGAGCCCCCTCAAATTTGGTCCAAAGAAATCTAATTAAGATTATATTGGATCATCTTCTAGGAGTTGAGGCATAAATTGATTACATTGGATATTTGCAACGAACTCATGTTCAATATTCTTAAAATATTTTTTTAATTTTTTATTTTCTTGTCTTTACTTTTTTATGCCAGATTAATTCTGCTGGCATATTAAATTTACTTATAACTTCTATGTGGGTTTGTGATTGACAGGCTTTTTCTATTAAAGTTGTTAATTGTCACAACTTGACTAGGGAGTTTGAAATTTCAAAGGCGGGAATGGTCTTTCGGACGATAAAGTTATACTATTTTATCAGTTGCAATAATCCATATCAATCATCTAAATAGTAAAGAGCTACTAAACAGAAAATTTGCAATACATCATTCAAACCAAATGGTAGAAAAATATCCCTTTGCAATAACAATTTTAGTACAAAACTTGACACATGATAAAATATTTTGCTTATATCTATTTTCATTAGATTCTTTTTTTGTGTAAACATCTCTCTCATGTCAGCCATTTAACTGAGTTTTTTCTTTAAATAAGCAGTAAACATGCTAAGTTATACAATTATTTAATAAATAATTACAGTTTTACTGTGCGCTAAACTTGTATGCATATGTTCCAGCATGAATATTGTAAGAAAAATGATAAAATATTAAGATTTTTAAATATTTGTATTCTCATTAATTAGAAAATTTTTAATATTTTTAATGACATTTCATTTATGTCATTTCAGTAGCACCATCTAAATATTATACTAGTTAAGGGATAATAATTTATATTTTCTTTTCTACTTTTTTATCCCTTAAGTTTTTTTCATTGGTATTTTTGTGCACGGGTACAATAGCATTCTTAGCTAGTGCCACAAGGGAGTGATTCTTTTGATTGACCTAAACCTTTATTTCATTTGATTTTATTTAATTTTTTTCAAATACTCCCAACATTTGTTAAATTTCAGGGCAAATTGCAATATTTGGAATATTTAAAAACTAAATTTTTACTTAATTTATTTATATGATGATGGTTTAAATCCTGGCAAACATGATTGATTTTTTAAAAATAAGAGAATTTAGTATAGGCAAAAAATTAATCACTCACCTTATCTTTTGAAGAGTGCTATTGTAAATTGACTTTTAGTCACATTCCTCAATTCTTTAGCACCTATAATGATAAACCATATCCTTAAATTTCTTACTTAATATTGTACAACATTTTAAATAAACTTTAATATTAACTTTCTTCTAACATCTTTTTTTTATACTCTTCCTTTTAAATTTCATGAGGATCTGAACTTCTAAATAATTATTTTATCCAATGAGAAGTTCTTTTTAATAACACTGTCATTGCCGGTCCCAAGCCCGGATGTGAAAAGTGGAGGGTTGCGTTATGCAGTCGATAACCAGTGTAAAACTTTTCGAAAAAAATCATGACATGAATCCTTTTGATCATTGTGTAAGTGCTAGGGCGTTCCCTGGAAACGACGCACTGCATAACCTGAATACAGTGAAAGTGTGCGAGGGCCGCTACACCGGTGCCCGGGTGTAGTGTCAAATAAGCAAATGTTCCCACATTCCGAACAGATGCGGGTAAAGAAATTAGTCCATGAAACTAATGAAATTAAAATTAGGGTAGGATCTTGGAATATAGGTACTCTCAATGATAAATTAATCAAATTAGTTGATATTATAATTCATAGAAATTTTAACTTCTTATGTATTAAAAAAACTAAATGGATGGGAGAAAAGGCTAAGGAGATTGATAACTTAGGAATTGATAACTTAGGAAGATTGATAACTTAGGATTTAAACTTTGGTATTCTGGTAAGAGTCACACTAGAATTAGTGTTGGTGTAATTATAGATAAGAGTTTGAAAGATAATGTTGTAAAAATTAATAGAGTCGGTGATGAAATTATTGCCCTTAAGATTATTATTGATTCTAAGATTTTTAATTTTATAAGTGCTTATGCTCCTCAGTTAGGTCTAGATATAGAGACTAAAGTTAAATTCTGGAATTGCTTAGAAGACTTGATACAAATGATACCTCTTGAAGAAATAATTTTTATAGGAGGAGATTTAAATGGACATGTTCGTAGGGTGGTAGAAGATTTCAGAAATATTCATGGTGGCTACGGTTTTGGAGTGATGAATGGAGAATGTAAAGTCATTTTGGATTTATTTTTAACGTATAATTTTGTTATTACTAATACTTTATTCAAGAAAAGAAATAAACATCTTATTATTTATAAGAATGAGTTTAATAAAATACAATTTGATTATTTTTTTATGAGAACAAGAGATCGTCGAGATTGTAAAAATTGTAAGATTATTCCAAGTGAGGATTTAAGTAACAAACATCGATTATTAGTTCTAAATTTTAAGATGAAGAGTTGTAAAATAAAGAATGCTAGGATTCATTAACATAGAATTAGATGAAGGAACCTAAAAACACAAATAAAATTATTTTTACGAGTAAAATTCAAGATTTCAAAATTTGGGATGTTCATGAAGAATCAAAGGCCATGTGAGATGAAGTAACAAACAGTATTAAACAAGTAGCAAAAGATGTACTTTGAGAATCAAAAGAAAAAGTTTCTATAAATAAAAATAGTTGGTGGTGGAATAATAACTTGCAAGAAAAGCTAAAATATAAGAAGTTATGCTATAAAAATTGGTTTAATTGTAAAAACTTTGAGAACTGATAAAAATATCAAACAACTCGTAGGGAGTCTAAAAGAACAATCTGTGATGCTAAAAATTTTGCTATTAGTGATATTTATGATAGATTAGATATTAAGAAGGGTGAAAAATATATGTATAAACTACCCAAATAAAGAGGAAAGAAAAGTAAATATTTAAACAATCGTATTAAAGATGAAAATCCAAAAGTGCTTTTCATAGAAAAAGATATTCAACGTAGGTGGGTGAGTTATTTTGATAAACTTTTTAATGAAGTTTTCTGAAAATACGATTACCTTAGTGATCTTAATATTGTTAATAATAATAAAATGTTTCATTTTTACTGTCGCATTAGTAAAAAGGAAGTTGAGGAGGCTTCAAAGAAAATCAAGGGTGAAAAGTCTGTAGGACCTGATAATATTTCAATTGAAGTGTGGAAATATTTAGGAGATTTGAAGTTTCTTGGCTTACCAAACTCTTTAATATTATTTTAAAAACTAAAAATATGCCTGAGGAGTGAAGGAAGAGTATTTTGGTCCCTATTTTTAAGAATAAGAGAGATGCATAAGAGTGTGCAAATTATAGAGGAATGAAGTTGATGTGTCATTCTTTAAAATTATGAGAGAGGGTAATTGAACATAGGTTAAGACGTATTATAAAGATTTATCGTAATCAATTTGGTTTTATGCCGACCAGGTTTCCCATGGAAGGTATTCATTTATTGAGAGATTTGATGGAGAAATTCAGAGATAATAAGGAGGATCTACATTTGATTTTTATTGATTCAGAAAAAACTTACAATAAGGTTCCAAGATATGTCCTTTGGAGCGTTCTTGAGAAGAAAGGTGTTCATAGGACTTATATTGAAGTCATTAATGATATGTATACTAGAGCTACTACTTATGTTCGAACTGAAGGAGAATTGACCAAATATTTTTTTATTTCTGTTGGATCATATCTTTTTTGCGTTATTTATGGATGGTCTTAATGGACATTTTCAGGAGGATGTACCTTGGTGTATGCTTTATTGTTGATGATATCCTCCTCGTGGATAAGGCGAGAGAAAAAAACCAAGAAAAACTTGAATTATGGAGGTCTACATTGGAGTCTAAAGGCCTTCACTTGAGCAAAACTAAAACTGAATACATAGAATGTAATTTTAGTAGCCATTGCTCTAGTGACAGAAGTGTAACTTTGGGTGATCAAATTATTAAAAGGTGTGAATGATTTAGATATCTCGGGTCTGTTATTCAAAGCGAGATATAGATGGAGATGTTAATAGTAGAATTCAAGTTGGTTGGTTGAAATGGAGGAACGCTTCTGGCCTTTTGTGTGATAAAAAGGTACCGCTTAGACTGAAAGGAAAATTTTATAAGAGGGTGGTGAGACCTGCAATGCTTTATGACACTGAATGTTGACCTTTAAAAGAGAAGCTTAATGCTAAGTTAGGTGTTGCTGAGATGAAATGATTAGGTGGATGAGTGGTTTTACACTTAGAGACAAAATGCGAAATGAATATATCCGTGATAGGGTTGGTGTAGCTCTGTTCCGGACAAAATTAGAGAGAGTCGTCTTAGATGGTTTGGTCACATTAAACGTTGACCATCGACCATCTGATGACTGATTAGGAGTGTAGATGTTTTAGATTCGACTTCTGTTAAGGAAGACAAAGGTAGACCTAGGAAGGCTTGGGCTTATTGTATAAAAAATGATCTTAATTTATTAGAACTAAATGAAAATAGGAGACTAAATATGACGCAATGGAGAAAAAGGATTCATGTAGCGGACCCCACGTAGTGGGATTAAGGCTTTGTTGTTGTTGTTAGAAGTTCTTTTTAATGACAATAATTCAATCTTTTAATCTTTTCAACTGAATTTCTAAATTCCTTAAGTTTAATGCTGCTTCTAGAAAGTATT